TGTCTCAAAAAAAAAAAAAAAGAATTCTAAAAAAGAGTGACAGATAAGAATATTGGAATCTACATTAAAACCTCATTAGTAGCCTATCTGAATTTATTAAATGTTTTGAAAAAAGTATAGATCTGAAGACAATGTTTAAGTATCTTTAAGTATTCAGTGCTACCCAATACCTTATATAATGAAAATGATCTACTCAGCATGATATAAATATCCTTTTGAATGTATACAAAATCTGATTTCACAGAGATTGAGATGATAGGGGAAATGGCTGATAATCTGTGAACATGGCAAGTAGTACCAAGATAACAGAGACCCAACAAAGAAGGATCTCAGTGAAAAGGTACCAAGACCCAGAGGTGCACTAAATCTCCAGTATGCTGACATGAAGAACTGCCAAGGCTTCTGCCCCACTGGCTACACGTGGAGATGGGGAGAGGCGGCCCCTCCCTGGGGACTTTCCAGATATTGAATACAGGTCAGGAATTAGAGTCAGCGGCCCGGAAAAGGGCAGGCAACAGATGTAGGACAAGGCCAAATTTAACCAGGCCATGCATGAGAAATGGGATGGGAAAAGGGGGCTATGTTAGGAACCTGGGAAGTGACAGTTATCAGGCCCAGTCTAGACAAGGACTGGGTGGTAAAAGGAAGGCAGACATAACCAAATCACCAAAAAAAAAGAGAGGGCTCTGAGTAATGGGATCAGAAAAGACATATCCCTATCAGTGTCTGAAAGCATGTAGCCAACTCTGTACACTCAGAAGTAAAACTAACTGGTTGTCTCTGTATTCTCTTTCTAGAACTCAAAAGTGTGAGTAATTATCCTAACTCCTCTGAGCATGAGGTTGTGTTTTGGTCTATTTAGGACCTTCTGCCAGGGATTTCAGGGTGGATAGAATGGATAGTAAATCTTTTGGAGGTCTTCTCTTCAGAGCAGGACATTAAGCCAAGAACAGGAAGGTTTTGACATTGGGACTAGAAACGGGAACCTAATTAGTGAACTTTTAAAACTGGTTCAGACCTATCTTGTCATAGTCCCAAAGACTACAGAGCTATGAAAATATTTAGTCAAATAAAAAAATAAAGAAAATGAAACAAATCTGATAGAAAAATAAAATCACTTAAACCATTTATTTAGTAATGTCTGGCCAACTTGGTCAAATTTGATAAGTGTATATGCAAACATGAATATAGCTTAACAGTGACATTTCCATCTTATAAGCATACAAATATTCCTCTCTCTAAAGACATGTCTTTTAAAAATGTAATTGTGATTCTGTCTGAATCTGTCAATGTAATAGTGACTCTGTCAGTGATTTCAGACAGTTTTGGGTCATCCTAACTGAATGAGTAGAAGTTAACTAGACAACCTAATAAACTAAAGCCCAGTGTTTACACTCATGAGCCATTGTTCATTACATACACAAGAGTGTTTCTGCCTACATTGCCAAGAATTCTACTCTTTAGGAGAAAAAAAGATTTCTTTTGGGAAAATTATCAGCAAAAACTCAATAAAAAGCTTCTGAAAGCAGGAATCCTAAAAGCTCAAGAGACATGGAGAAGCTACATCTAGAGATATTTTTAAATAACAATTGTGAAGTAAGATACTTCATAGTTTATCTGTTCTAGTTAAACGGGCAAATCCTTAATTGTACAAGGGATGAAAGATAGGAAATGTGGGGGGAAATACAAATCTGATAAACAAGAATTGTTAAGTTCTATGAAGGCAAGGGCCATGCTTGTGCTGTTGATCACTGTATCTATGATGTTTATGAGACTGCCCAGCATATAGCTGACTTATAAATATTGGTTAATTCATAAGCAATTAAATTTCTTATAAATAAGTTGTAGTACCTTTTAGTTACATCTGTTTCATTGTATTTTTCTAACAATTTATTATGAAAATATTTAAAATAGAAAAGTTTAAAGAATTGTACAGTGAACATTTAAAATATTTTAAAGTAACAGGTATCAATGCACTCTCCTGCTAAATATTTCAACATGCATATATCATTACTATCTTGAGTTTAATATTTGTGTTATAGAATTTTGGGGTGTCCTAAAAATTACATATAGACAAATGCCCAAATATTAAACATCCATTTAAGGGTTTCTGACAAACATTTAGAGCTACATAACCCAAACTCTATCAACTTGAAAAGCTTTCTTGCCCCTTCCCAGCCGATCCATTCTGCTACATATTAGATGTTTACCACTATAACATGGCTTTAACTTGTAATTCCCTAATAGCTAATAGGAAGCACATCTTCTATAAGCACATTGGCAATTCATATATCTTCCTTTTGAGGTGTCTGTTCAAATATTTTACTCTTTTGTAACTGGGTTGTCTTTTTCTTATTAAGTTGTATTATTTTCTAGATTCAAATCCTTTGTCAGATATAATTAACAAGTATCTTCACACAGTCTACAATTTGCCTAATGAGTTTCCTAAGTTTACCTTGTAATTTTAATTCTGAGAAAATTTAACTTATTTTTGTTTACTGCTTTGTATGTCAGGCCTAAAAACTTGAGCCAAGCCCAAAGTCACAGAGATATTCTATGTTTTTCTCAAGAAGTTGTATAGTATTAATAATAGCTTTTGTGCTTGTGTAAATGAACCAATTCTAATTTCTCCAAGAGACAGAGGCTGGGGTTCTTTGTTTTTAAATATGCCATCCAGTTACACCAGCCCCATTTGTTAAAAAGTTTCCTTTTCCCATTAGATTACATACACCTTTTGTTGAAAATCAAATGACCATATCAATGTCATTTGATTTCTGGGCTCAATGTCATTTCTGTTTCTGGGCTCCCTATTCTGTTTCACTGATCAGTTCCCAAAGTCTTATTAATGCAGAATTACAGTATTTAAGTTAGGTACTCTAAGTCGTTTTCGACATTTCTTTGGACATTCTAAGTCTTTTACATTCCCATATAAAGTTTTTATAAGTTGCTCAGTTTCTACAAAGAAATCTACTGAATAATGATTTAGATTACACTAGATCTTCAGATCAATTTGAGAAGAATGGATTATTTTAAAAATATCAATTCTGCCAATCCATGAGCATAGTATGTCTCTCCATTCATTTAGTTCTTTTTTAATCTCTTTCAGTAATATTTAATAGGTTTTAGTGCATAGGTATTGAACATGTTTTGTTAAATTTGTGCCTAAGCATTTCATATTTTCAAATGCTACTGTAAAAATTTCCAGTTATGTACTAATCGTGTATTAAAATATAATACATTCTAGTACAATATATTGATCTTGTATCCTAAGACCTTACTAAATGCACTTCTGTGTCCTGATAGTCATTCTGTAAACACCTTTAGATGTTCTACTAACCTGGTTGTGTCATCCAAAACCAGACATTTTACTTCTGCCTTTTTAATCTGTGTGTATTTCTTCCCTCCCTCTCTTGCTTTATTATACTACCTAGGAAATAGCATATTAACTGTTGTGTGAGCTATATTTAACTCATGCTAGTTTTGAGCCTGGGGCCTCTTGAAGTATATTACTCACATAATCTCTTGACCTTGGGTGCAGGATGGTGTACAGGCAACTCATGTTGCCATCCATGGCATACATGTTACATGATAGGTGGCCCCCTGGGTGAACTGACCCTGCATTCAGTTCATGAAAATCTTACTCACTGATGTTCTTGTTACAATTAATATTGATAATTCTAAAAACATAGATTAAATGAATATAAATCAATGCATTTTTTTCTATTTATGTTTACCTTTAAATTACACTTAAACTTGATAAATCAAGAAAAATATTTTACCCTTATGAACTATTTCTCTTTAATTAATTAATTTATTTTTTTATTTATTGTTATTATGGTTTTTTTGTGTCGAGACAGAGTTCTCCCCTATGCCCTGAGCAGAGTGCAAAGGCGTCCCAGCTCACTGCAACCTCAGACTCAGGTTGTGGGCATCCTGCTGCCTCAGCCTTCGAAGCCAATCAGATTACAGGCACTCACAGCGGTGCCCAGCTGGGTTTTTCAAGTTTTTTCATAAAGTCTCTTACTCAGACAAGCCTCGAACTCCTGAGTTCAAGCAATCCTCCCGCCTCAGCCTCTCACAGTGCTGGGATTACAGGCAGGAGCCACCGCGCCCAGCTATTAACTATTTTTCAAGTTACTTTTTATATTACTGATTAATTGTCAAGGTTTTATATTACTTTATTGATGTATGTTTTAGGAAAAAGCCTTCTACACAAAAGTACACATTACATGTGCTGCATCTCCATGCTGTTGACATCTTCATGGCATATTCACATCCTCTCTGAGCTTGTGTTTTTGAAATACACAGCCCATCTTCCTCTGACAGGACTCCTCTTCATCAAAGAACAAGTCACAGATGGTAATGGGAGGGACAGCACTGCAGTAGGTGTTTGATCTGTCTGGAGCAGTTTTAGGCTAACTTGTTTTCTGAATTTTATGATTGAGTCTCTTTGTTCACAGCTCTGTAGAGAACAAGCAAAT